ACAGGTTTTGTATTTTGTGTTTGCAGTTTTTTGGACTCTTGGAATTTTAGCAGGGGTTCAGGGCTTTTCTTTCTCAAATTTCTGACCCTTTTACGGTTTCCAATGGCTTTCAATTTATAGGCAAAGATCTTGTAGCTTGGAGAGTGCAACCATCACATGCTAGGGTGTTGCCTTGCTGTTGAAGCAAGTATGGTGGTAGTAGCCTTAGCAGCGCCTAAGCTGGAATTGTAAGCAGGAATTAAGGAAAGGTAACTTCAAAGGAAAAAGCAACGCATGGGCCCAACACACTTTTGTACAAGAGTTTTCTTTTCCAAGACAGTAAAGGTACTTCTATGCCACACGTGGAGAAATCCTTTGAACAAAGACCCATAAGTGGTTGTGAGCATTAAATGATGATGAGATTGATCAAACCAGAAATCCTGCAACGTGATATTCTGCATCATTTCTTAGTTCTGGATCAGAAGTTCAGTTCAACATGACTTAGAATAGACATCCAACTTCTGATCTTTGTATCTCTTTGCTCCAGCATGTTCTGAAGGAGCTCTCAGACTTTCCAGGAAGCTTACAGCACGCTTTGTAACCTTTTTTGAATTACCCTTGCAAACTCTGACTGAACCTTTATGAAAACTGGCCCATAAGTTCTGACCAAAATTTGTTTTGAAAGTGCCCATAATTTGCTGAGTGCTTTAGTTTCATGGACGTGTCTTTGAGGAGTTATAACTTGAAATCCCAGCATTTCTAGGAGAAGTTCTGTTCTGCACTGTTTTAGATCTCATTGAAATCTATAACTATTGTATCAAAAGTTCTTCCAGAATCAGCTTGCATCATGGTGAAAATCTGATCAGAAGTTCTGAACCTGTCATATTTCTTAAACACTCAAAAAAATTCTAAGTATTTAGAAATTTGACTTTTCCAAAGTAACTTTTGATTTTTGAATTTTTAGATGAAACAAACTTCATATCTCAACATGTCTTGATGAAATATGACTCTTGAAACTTGATTTTGATCAAAAGTGAAAGTTTGACTTTCAATATGCAAATGGCCATTTTACCCTTGTGAATGACTTTCTTGAAAAATCTGTAATTTGAGGCTTGGAATTGGATGGAAGCAAACTTGAGGGTTCAGGGTGATCCTTTGAGAAATGAGAGGGAAAATTTTGGGGTACAACAACTGCCCCTGTTCAATCTTCTTAAACTTGAAGAGTTATATTGGTGAGTCCGCCATTCGTGACTTGAAGGTGAAAGATGATTGAACACTAGAGTTCCCATAAATTTGCACTCAAAGATGGATGGTGAATAGGCTTATAGATGCCATTTAGAGGAACGTTAATAAACATTAGAAGAAATATCAGCACAAATCTCTTGTTGATTTATACTAAAACTTGATGTTTTACCTGTGAGAAAAAGAGTTAGTAAAATGCAGATGCATGCATGATGTTCACCAGATGTGGTATTATGCTAAATGCATAGGGTATGTACATGCTATGATATATGAATGTGAGACGTATGTTTCTGTCCGGGAAAATAAATCTCTGACTGCTGCTATGGAAATTCTGGGAGGTTGAATCCCTAATTGTCGTTGGGGATGAAGAATATATATATCTTTAAACTTTGTTGAAAGGATGCTTCCGCTGGGGAATATCTCTTGAACATCAGTTGTTATCTTGTCGGATCCAGGCCTCACAACTTGCTGAGGGTGAGACGAATTAATTGTTATCTGGTCGGATTCCAGGCTTTGCAGAAAATTTCTTGAAATTGAATAGTCCTCTGGTCAGATCCAGGCTTTACCATAATTTGTTGGGGATACAAAATTTAATTGTTATCTGGTCGGATCCAGGCTTCGTAGTAAACTTGAAGTGATAACTACTATCTGTTCGGGTCCAGGTTTCATGGTTTTCGGAAAGTTATGCTATTATCTGGTCGGGTCCAGGCTTTATAGTGCATCTCTGGGGGTTACAGTTAATTGTTATCTGGTCAGGCTCCAGGCTTCACAATAAACTGTTTGAAAAACTATTATCTGCTCGGGTCCAGGCTTTGCAGATTTCTGAGGTTGATGAGGTCAATTGTTGTCTGGTCGGGTCCAGGTTTCTCAATAAACTAACTGGGGATATAGTTGTTATCTGGTCGATTTCCAGGTTTCACAATGAATCTCTGAGGGAGATTTCTATCTGGTTGGATCCAGGCTTCACAACAACTTTCTTGAAAAGATGGAATTGAAAACTGATATCTCGTCGGATCTAGGTTTCTTAGTAATTTATTGGGACAGAGGCAAACTTTACTGGGGACAAGAAGTTAAACCTTAGTCGGATTGAGTCCATGTTCTTCTATATCTTTGAAGAGTTAGGCTACTATCTGGTCGGGACCAGGTTTCATAGCATCTTGAAATTGAGATCAACTGTTATCTGGTCGGGTCCAAGTTTCAGATACTCAAACTGTTATCTGGTCGAGTCCAAGTTTTAGTAACTTGAAGAAGTCAAACTATCATCTGGTCGGGTCCAGGCTTCAGTAATAACTTGAAAATTGTGCTAATGTCTGGCTGGATCCAGGCTTCATAATATCTTTTGGAAATAGTAAAGGATTTGCTGATGGCTTTACTGGGGATCAGGGGTTGTGGCCCTATGATTTGCAATAATTCGAAAGAGAATTCAAACTGGAGAGTGTAGACTCAGTCGGGTAGGACAGACTCAACTTGGGGAGGATACACTCAGCTGGGGAGGATAAACTCTGCTTGGGGATAATAGCCTTGGCTGGGGAAGTTATACTCAGCGGGGAAAATAGGCTCAGTTGGGGAAGATGGGCTCAGTTGGGGAACTTCACAGTGTCTTGATGGTTGTATGTTAAGGAAATTTGAACTCGGCTGGGGAGTTTTGTGGTTCCTCGACTATTGTTGGGGAAATAAAACCTGTTGGGGATAAGGTTTATTGCAACCGTCATCATGGGAATAATGATAATGGTAATTCTGCGGGGATATTTCATATACATTAAAGAGATGCTTACTGCTTCTTAGCAGGACACATGTGTCAAATAGTTTTAATTATGTTCATATGCATATGTTCATTCAATTTTAGTCATTGGACAAATTTGCATTCAAAACAAAAGACATAAATTTTGCACTTCAAAGTATATTTGTATTGATATTTTGCCCCTTGTTGCACCCCAAAATTTTCCCTCCTATTTTCTTCTATCTGGCTTAGACTCTTGCATCCATCTGTATATATTCCATTAGGTCATTAACATACATTTTCATTCGGAAGAGCTTGAGGTTCAAAGTTCAGTGGCTGTGCGATATTAGGGTTTCGCAACGGTTAAGGTGTTCGTATCCAATAAAGCCTGATTCTTCTGATTATCCTTCAAGTAATTAATTTTGGAATTAGGGTTGCAACCTATGCTTATTAAGGGTTCCGATCTCTTCAATTTAAGAGAGTTATTACTCATTCAGATGTATTCAAGACAGGAGTCCGAGTTTTTTTACCAAGTCTGTGCCTGTCAGCATTTCATCAACCGAGGTTCATTAGGTTTTTAGTCATGGCCATCTTGGTCATACTTCTTTCTGTATTCCCATGTTCATTCCCAAGTTGTTCTACGAGGTCATCTAAGGGCTACTAAATTAGGCATTTGTTATCTCCTTGTGCTCAACGTCATCCTTTGATTAGGGTATATTTCTCCAAATCATGTACCATTTAAGAGAGGTTTCTCTGCGACGTTGTGATTATCAGGCAAGGCTATCATCAGGGGATATTTTCCGTGAATAACCAGGGTTTCAATTTACATATCTTTGGAAAATAAGAAGGAAATCATTTCTTGAATATCTAGTCATGTGGGGAACAACTCTATTCTAGAGAAGAAGATTCAATTGGACCTTATTCACGAATCAGGGTTTGTATGCCTTATAAGGAAAACCTCTTCATCTGGTCAATTGGCTTACTTGAAGTACAATCTATTTTCTTCGTATTTCATTTCAATGCTTTGAGATCAAAATCTAAAAAAGTTTTGTATGGAAGATTGGGGTTTTGAATTAAAGATATGCAGACGTTTAAGCATGGATTCATTTAAGTCGATTTAAGGAAACCTATATTTGTTTATTAGAAGATATTCAAGCAGGGAAGTTCATCTAAATTGATAGAATGCGAGACATTGGGATTTCACAAATACAAGGTAGATAAAGGACTTGGAATATAAAATTCAAAAAGAAAGGAAGACATTTCTTTCTCGAGAAACTCAAAACCAAATGAAGAGAAAGTAGTTTGCACCCTTGATAATTTGTCATTTGGATTCAAGAGGTCCCAAAGTTACATTTGTATGAAGGGTCATACCGCATTACCTTGGTTTCAAGAGAATTTACAAGCGCAAGGCCATTTACAGTTCACTATAGTATTTAAGTTCCATTCACCACTACAAAACCTTTTCATTCCATAATCAACAAAAATTCCAACAAGTTCATTCATTACAAATTCACCATAAGTCATTTCAATTTCAAATTCTATACAATTAAATTCAAAACACCATTACAAAACCATAGAAAACTACATTCAAAAATATTACATGAAAAATTATCCAATCTCTAAATCCTTCTTCATACGAATTATGTATTCCAATCTCCATTCCAAGCTTTTGACTATCCTTCACCATCGTGCTATGCTTATCCCTAACATTAATTCTCCATCTTCATGTTTTCTTCAAGCTTCCCGCTCCGAGTTTCAATCTGCACTAATAAACCCAGTCCAGCCAACCAACTCAGAAAAAAACAAAAGTAAATATCGGCTCTAGAATCTGTGCATGAGTATTAGCAGCCCTGCATATTAACAACCAAAAAGTCAATTCTTTGTTTAAATCATAACAGAAATACAACTCAGTTGCTTGCTCAAATCACATTGCAAGTTATGCTCACGTACACGATTACATCATCTAACAAAAGCCTAAATCAATCTCGTTCAACCTTCAAGGGTCTCATGGAGAGTTAATTAGGGTTCGATCCTTCACTCGCAATTTCTCATAAGTCCCATGATAAGTACCTACTCTTATACCAAAATAGGTGCAGCATTTTATGCGTTAGGCATAGGGGCATGTGCTTCGGATGCTGTTGATAAAGAAGAGCTCAAATATGTTTACCATGAAAACAGTCAGAAGGCTATCAAAGTCTTTCCTACATTTCCTGCTTTGCTTACATTGGAATCATTGCCCAATGGTTTTGATCTCCCGGGCTTGCAATACGAATCACGCCTTCTGGTGCACGGACAACAATACATAGAGATGTACAAACCATTTCCTTCAAGCTGTCATGCACAAAATAAAGTTAGTCTCGTAGGATTGTATGATAAAGGCAAGGCAACAATTTTAGAGATTGAAACAAAAGGTTATGAGAAAGAATCTGGCGATTTATTATGCGTGAACATATCAACAGTCTATCTACGCGATGCTGGTGGCTTCTCGAAGTCATCAAAACTGTTTTCCTACTCAAATTAGTCTTCAAACCAGACCTCAGCTGTACAAAATTCCTGAAAGTAAACCTTTTTCAGTGTTGGAGGATCGTACACACCCATCTCAGGCACTGCTCTACAGACTATCCGGTGATTATAAACCTCTGCATTTAGACCCCCAGTTTGCAAAGGTTGCTGGATTCTCGAAGCCAATATTGCAGGGGTTGTGCATATTAGGACTTGCTGTTAGGACAATCATCAAGAGTGTATGCAAAGAGAATCAAAATAGAATTCAAAACTAGCCTAAAAAAAACTAAATCAAAACAGAATTTTATAACTATCAAAAACAACTAACAACTTAGTAACTAACTTCCATTTGATTTTCTAACCGTCAAACAGAACTTAAAAAGAAACTGTAACTAACTTTTCCTAACAGCATATTGGAATTTTCTGAATAGTTTTAACTAACAGCTTTGGTTTCTAAGCTAACATTTTGAGTTACTTGCACTAATAGAGAATGCTAACTAACTTCCTAATAGAATAATAGGAAAATCAACAGAAAATTAAACAAGAATTAACAACCTTCTCTAACATCTTTCAACTTCCTCTAACAACCTCTCAGAAATAGAGTTCCAACAAACAGAATTACTAACCCCTAACTACCTCTAATTGTTTCCCAACTAATATCCTGACAGTTATAACAAAAATTTTCTAACCAATCTCTGACCAACTCCCAACAGAATTTCCTAACCCCTAATTGTCAAAACTTCCTTCCAACTAACCTCTAAAAACCTCTAACAGATTCCCAACCAACTTCTAACTGATTGAAACACTAGCTCTAACTAACTTTCAACAAACTAAAAAAAATAGAATATAAAAACAGAGTCACCTTTTTTTTCCAGGAGGATTCCTCACTACTGCAAAAAGAATCATAGGAAATTCTCTCTTTCTTCATTTCATTCTCCAACTGCAGAGTAAACAAAAGATCTCTGAAAATTCTCTCGAAGCTCTCTCATCTTCACTCTCCGTCACCAATTCTTCTGTAATAGTCTTCACCTTCTCGACAACCATGTAGGACCTTCAATAATATCTTTCTGTGCTTCAGTCACCATCATCATCATCCCCACCACCTGCATCAACAGCATCACAACCACAGTTTCATAACAACGCTCAACTAATTTCAATAGTGTTGGATCCGCATCATAGCGCGGAACAAATGCAATAACAGGAACACGAAGAAGATAACAGAAACGGTAGGAAGAACGTGTGAAGGTGTGAATCGAGCCTTACCTGGAGTCTGTAGACCCTGAATCTCTCTGTCACCATGTTTAAAAAGCCGTCGGAGCGGCTCCGGCAGGTACGATTCAAATTCTCCCTCTCTTACTTCAATGGAACTTCAATATTCATTTTCATAGACATATTGTGCTTTGTATTTCGTTTCGATTTGGAGATGACAAGTGAGGTCATGAGAGTTTGAGACCAAAATTGAAAGAGAATAACGGAGTTGGATAGGAGGAGGCCGAAGAGGTGTGAACGAAGAAGAAAGAGGAGAGGGAACCGTGTGTATCGCGGTGGCGGCGAATCAAAATAAAGAAGAAGGTGTTGTGCGGCGGTGCTGTGAGAGCATGACGGAGGTCGACCCTTGGAGAAGAGAGGAAGAAAAAAGTTCCAGTTCAGACGTGTTAGGGCTTCTGATTGGAGATCTATCAGAAGAAGTGATGTTGTGATTCAGAGAATGGAGTCCCGGTGGCGGATCCCCAGAAAAAACGAAGAAAAACCTCGAATCGCGCCGCGGCAGAATAATCTTAGACAGAAGAAGAAGAAGCTAATATGTCACTTTGCAACCCTAATCCTTTTTTTCTTCTTTTTTTCCAATAAACTGAAACAAGAATTGAGTGAGGTAGTGGTGTTGGACTATGCTGAGTTTGTTGGGCCTCTGCGCCTCTCACTTCACCCATAGGCCCGTTTTTATTTTATCACAAGGCCTGCTACCATTTTTTTGGTATAGCTATTAATTGAAGAACCAAAAAAGAGATCCTGGACCTATTCTGCTGGGCCTAGCGCCCAGCTTACTACTAAATCACCCCCTAGATTTTGGCTTGCACCCCTAAGTTCTTCCTTTTAATGTTTTACTTTTGATAGTTGTTTAGTTTTGTTGAAATTTCTTCTTTACATAATAAAAACGATAAAAATCAATAAACTTCGTAGATTTTTTTTATTTGGTTTTTAGAAATTAAATTCCGATTATTCGATTACTTGAGATTTCTAATCTACCTTTGCTTTAAGGTTGGAATCTTATGCAGAATATGCAGATATGCTTGAGTTTTCGATTGTGATTTATTTTCACATCAATGACGCTTCGACACCTGTACTACGTATTCAACTTCTGACTCTTTTCTTTATGCTAGAAGCTCGCGAGATCGTCGGGTTTCTTTGCTTTTTACTTTGCTCTACGGGCTAGTATTTGTTTGGTATATTTTCTTTCTACTTTCTCTCCGCATTTATCTCTTCATAGAGATCATGTGAAGTATGATAACATTAGGTTTAGAAATAGGCTAGTCTCCCTTTGACTTTTCTTTCCCTTTTTGCATATGCATTTAACACACAAAAAAACTTCTTTTTCTTACAAACTTCAAAATAATTAAAAAAAAATTTACTGACGAGAATCATATCATTGTTAAGTATGAGAGATGATAAGCGGGTTTCTTCTCGACCTTATTGTTCTCTTATTCTAAGCTTTGGTGTGGTTCAAGTCTCAAAGACTTATCTCATGAATAAGTAGAGAAATGGATAAAATCTCTCTTGGGGTCAACTAGTTGTTATCTACAAGCAAAAACACCAACAAACACAAACTCTTTTTTCCTACGGGTGTTTCTTTCAAACTCTTTTCAAAAGAGCATGTTAATTCACTTTTGTGCTGAGTGTAAGTATCCAAAGGTCGAGTTACGGAAGAAGGCGAAATTAATATTATTCATTAAAAACACAAACCAATTCAAATCTTTGTGCGCCCAAGCACCTTTTCTCCAAAAAAAATTTCGAAAGAGCATGTTACTTCACTTTTGTGCTGACGCGTAAGTCTCCAAAGGTCGAGTTGCGGCAGAAGGCGAAATTAATATTGTTCATTAAAAAAAAATACAAACCGACAAAAACGTATGAGCCGAACTACGGCTGCTCTGATTTCTTAAAAGGGATACATAGGCATTTGGGTAGGGCCCAAATGAGCACAACTTTTATTTTACCTACATTATTTTCTCATTTCTTTTGCATGCATTCTCCCTTCAGTAGTATAGTAAAAAATAAGCATAGATTGACCACACCCATAAGATAGATAACAAGAGTGGATATTGTGGAGTACTACGGGCGCGTGGGGTGCTAATACCTTCCCCTCGCGTAACAGACTCCCTTACCCGATCTCTCGGTCACAAGACCGTGACTTCTACCTTCTTAAGTTTTCTCAAGCTTTACCTTTCCCTTCCTGTGGGATAAAAAACGTTCGATGGCGACTTTATTGTTTGATGATTTTCAGCCGGTTGTTTCAGCTGGCGAATTCACTGGGGATTGGTCGACCAAATGCTGGTCCATCCCGGAGTCGCTCTAGCTCTTGTTTTCGTTTCTTTGGGTGTTTTTTTATTTATTTTTTATTTTTTTATGCTTTCGGTTTATCCATTCATTTTTTATATACCTGAGCATATGTATGCATTACATTTTACTATCTTCATATACTGCTATTATACTGGATCTGCTTCTTGTTTGGGTGGGGATGTTACTATTGAGGTAAAAGGCCCAGTACCCAAGCCAGAGTGCACTGGGACACTAGGAATAGAGTGGGGCCATGACAGCTATAGGACGTGGTCCGATTAGTGCAGTCATGTCATATACAATGCTCGAATGAGGTTCAATTGAAGGTATTTTCATTATGCACGTCTGTGTTGCGATAACTCTACTTTCAAACGAACTCATGATTTTCGAGTTACCTTTGCCTTACCCTAACCTAGTCTTCACCCGTGAGTGGGAAGGGAATTCTTATCACAGGTATAGCTGGTAACTATATTTAGACGGTTACTTATGATCATGTCCTGGATTTCTGTCGGTAATTATGAGGTTCTCAGATTTATTTTTTGAGGTTCCAACTATGATCTTCATGGATTTCTTCCGGTTATATTTCAGACCTGTAATCCTGGTATTAACAGAATATAAAGAGGCAGTACAATAGAAAACGGTATCATGGAAGTAGTAACCCCATGATCATTTGCACATATATCATAGCATATTTACTTTTCAAAAAATATATATATGTCGATAATTAATTCACATGCGCATTGTCATTTCCAGAATCTCTCTAGGGATTCCTTTTCCTCTAAAGAATGGAAAACAATATTGATATCGTCCTAAAGACGAAGAGGGATAACTTCAGCTATCAGTTTCGTCCGAGTATTTGGCCCTCTCTTAAATAACTCAGAGACCTCATGAATTGTCAACAAATGGGTGTTTTTGGTGAAAGATATGGGAATCTCCTATCTTTATTGGATTCTAGGGTTGACGATAAGGCTGTACAGACTTTGTTACAGTTTTAAGATCCGGAGTTGCGTTGTTTCACATTTTAGGACTACCAGTTAGCACCTACTCTTGAGGAGTATGCTCATCTTCTCCATATTAATCTCACCAGTCATGTTCCATTTGTTCGGTCCCTGTTGATCCCGACTATGAGGCCATTGCTAAGGTTCTTTATTTGAGCCTTAACGACGTAAAAAGGAAATGGAGACGTAACAAAGTTACTTGGGGTCTCCCTATAGATTTCTTGGTAAATAAGGCTAAGGAAATGGAAAATGCAGGAAACTGAGATGCTTATTATGCTCTGTTGGCTGCTATCATTTACGGAGTTGTCTTATTCCCTGAGATTAATAAAATTGTAGACTTGGCTTCTCTTTGCGTCTTCATGAATAAGAATCTGATACCCACGCTATTAGCAGATACTTACCACGCCATCCACTCTAGGCATGGAAAGAAATGAGTAGTAGTATGTTGTATACCAATGCTTTACAACGC